TTTTTTGGCCTCCTGACATGTAAATGTCAAATTAACGTACAATTGACACCTATTGAAAGACTGTATTTACAGTCGCCTGGGCATTTTACGCACGGACGAGTGTAAAGTGACAGTTTTACCGCACGGCCAAAATTATCTTCATAGACATTTATAAAAAAAAACTGTTTGTAAGATGATAACATTTTAAATATAACGCTCTACACACAACCTTTCAATCTTAGAACTCTTTTTTCTTCACACCACTTTATAATTATAAACACATTGTACTGGGCTTTCATACCTTGCTCGCGATTTTTCGGGCAATAGCTCGGTTGTAACATTTTCTGCAGCACTTCTGATTTCTGGTGGGGTACACATGGGGCTATTATCGCTCGACATTTTGAAGCATAAATTCACCAACAAGACAACAATAACAAAACTTTGTGTCTGAGACGTTTTTGCGTCTTTTTTAATTGTTTGACATTAGAGTGCATTGCCACCGTGATATTTATTGTCAAACGTATTTATTTGTATTAATTCTGAATTTTGTAATTTTGGATTTTTGTTTAAACGTCGGTCAAAAAGCTTAATACAAATCTTGTGCGTTAACCATTTTACAGTGCTCAATTATTAAAGCACTCCGCTGCGCGTCGTGCTTCAAATTCATTTCGCACTGTAAAATGTAAGTTACCGCACACGAATGTAAATAACTATTCTTGTGACATTTAGTCATAAAAGTGGTCACTTTTTTGACGTTTGCGGATAAAATAACAAACAACAATCTGTAATTTTTAAATTTTAATTATCAATACAGAATTTTGAGTAATTTTTTAACTATTATTATTTACATGATAATTTTTTACGCCATGCCTGAAAGGTAAAACTTTTACTTGTGATGTTGTTGAGTCATAAAAGAGACACTTTTGCTACGTTTGCGGATAAAAATTATTGTAAACCTTCTCTCATCTTATTATGGATATATTCCACTTTTATATTTACATGTTTACTGGTTTTAGTGCACAGAAAATAAAAATATTTTAACAACTTTTCCAAAAACGCCATAAAAATTCTCTTCGCCATAAATCCCCCCCCTATTTTTTTCTTCCGGAATCAATTTAAAATTTGGCACCGTTCTGGCCACATACTAGTTGATTCGCATCCCCGCCTTGAAATTAGACTTTCCATCATAAATGCAATGCCGAAAGTGTGAAATAAATTCAGCGCAACTTTTTAGCGGTCTCGAAACGTCGCCAACGAAAAACGACAATAGCCCGAATCTCTGTCCAAGCGACAAAATATTTGGCAACTCTTATCAAACCGTCGTATATAATTACATTTCACCGTCACACTACAATTTATTCGGGGGGGTCTAAGCCCTTTGTCTGCTTATAAATGATGACTGTTCGTATTAATGTTTCCAGCCTCGTGGGCATCTGCGTGCCCGCCGTTTCGCTTCCGAATTATTCCACCAGATTGTAAATTATAATAAACGGAAGCGAACGTTTTATCAAGTGGAATGTGAAAATTTGTTGCTCACCGCAAACTTATTATTGTAAACTATAATTTACTTTGAGAGCAGTAAAAATGTTTCGTGACGCTCTCGAAGGGATGGGGATATATCATGCCGAAGAACTGTTCTTCCGGGAAATTACGCGAAAAATGCCTCAGTTATCGTGTGCAAAAGAATTCTTCCTCGCATTATTCCAAACACGACACTAAAAGCAAACACGAGACAAATTTACTAAAAAATATGACCTCTTGCCCCAGTTGCACGGTGTCAAAGGTCAGTACTAGAATTGAGTTTAAGCTCTTCTATTATTCAAAGCTGCTTCCACCACCGATTGACATTAATCACTTAAACTCATCGTAAATTACATTGCATGCTCCGAAAAGCTAAATTTAAGCCACATTTATTTGCCAGAAAGCGACTAATCACCTTCCGGTAAAACCCCAACAATACAATTCTTTTCGAAGGAACATTTAATCGCGTTAGAGATATTTTTGGTGGCACTTGCTTTTAAATTATTAACCGATTTCGAATTTTGCGCGTTTAAATTCAAGACAGTTGCGATTTTGATTCCTACTAAATTATTAAAAATAATCGGACGTTTTCGTATTACGAAATCAAGCGGTTTGAAGAAAACTTCTTGCTGTATTGGATGGAAATAGTGCACAATCCGATTTTTAGCACGTGTGTAGACACTAAGAAATAACTGACCTATACAAGACGTGAACAATTTTGTCTTGCTTTTCGATTTTTACAAATATGGGAATTTAATAAAAGAGAAATTGTAAAACAAGAGACATTTCAAAAAATACTGCACTGGCAACTGACATGTTTTCATTCGTCAGTTGTCAATAATTTATAGAAATCTGTAATATGAATTTTATCGACATACTAGGTACATCATGTTTACATGATGTCTGTACTTGTTTGTACTTACAAACAAATGTAGTCAACTTGTTTTTATTTCACACACATTACTTTAAAAAAAATGTATTAGAATAGAAACACAACATTTAAATAAAAATATTTATAAAAATGTTTTAATCACACATTAGTTTAATAAGGTAGTCTTATAATTTATAAAATTGTGGCAAATCAATAAAAAATTTGATAATTTTCGATCATAGTGGCTAATGAAATTTTTGGTAACATTGAAAAAATCGAGAATTCTCATTTTATTATTTATTTTTGTCACTTTCATAAGAAATTTAAGCTAATAAATTAAGTAATGTATAATTAATTTTAAAAACAATTTTAGTTTGACATGTACCTAATAATTCCCCAAAAACCTACCAAGTTGATCAAGAATTTAATTTTTTTCTTGCTAAAATAAAAATGATGTAGAAAAATCTACACAAACACAAAAATACGTTTTTTATATAAACACTGTTTAGCTTTTCCAAAAAGATTTTTAAGATATATTAAATTTATTAAGGACTGATGCTGTTCAGCAAATTGGTACTTGTGTTTTTTTGTTTTTTAATGCAGATTTCATAAAATAACACATTTATTTTATGTCTCATATAAATGTAAAACCATAATGAAAATTTTCATAGTGTAGATAAGCATTATTGTCTGTTAATAACCGTCTATTTTCAAGCTAAGTATACTAGTTTAATAAGAAACATTAATTTTTGTTAAATTGAGTGTTTCACACAACATTACGAAGCTTGCGCACCCAAATATACAAAAGTCACAAAACACTAGAAACATTTAATTATTTAATTTTTGGAAACCCATGACAGTAGTTGTCAAACTAATCACTGTTTTATTAACAGTCATGAACTGCAGTTTTTCAGAAACAATTATTATTTGTTCTATCAAAAAACGGCATGAATATGATTCTAGTTTATCTATCATATTCACTAACTAACTAAAAACGTTCTAATTTTTAAAAGGATGAATAAACTAGAGAAGATTATCCAATTTTGCAAAATTTGTAATCGAGTTCGTATAGGAAAATCATGTAAAACACATTGTATATTTTTTTATAAAAAATTAAATAAGTTCAAAATAACAATGAATTTTGTTCAAGCTTAACAACAAAAAAATTGTATTTGTGTGAACTTTTTGAGAAAGAAATATACAGAAGGTTTCACATAATTGTGCAACTTGACAAACTCTAAAAGCAACCAATTATATTTTTTAAGTTGATGTGTAGTTGATTTGTAGATACTTCAATAACTTCAATGAAATTGAAACTTTGAATGTGAATCACACTGTATACATCCTGTTAAAAAAATTGAGGTCACACGATAATGATAAAAAAATTACAATAAAAAAATGTATCGTGTTATCAATACATTGTAAATTTAAATGAAAATATTGTCAAAAGTGGTGTAAAAATTCGTAAACGTATGACGTGCATAGATTGTTACGTTTAATAAAATGCCAAGATAAACAAGAAAAGTATCTCAAATTGGTAAGTTTATTGTATAATTCACCGGTATTAGGAAAACATAATCCACAATTGTCTTTAATGAAATTTAAGAGACACTCCCAAAAAAAGTATTCGTTAAAATAGATGCTAAATTTTGAGCGACTAAACAGTCTGATGTTTTTTCTTTGGGAAAAATAGTGTTTTAGTTTAATTAAGTTTTTACTAATTATTATAAACCTAAACCACAAATATAAAATTCTTTTTTACCTTAACTTAAAGAAAATGTATTTACGACTTTTTTATAAAAAATATAAAATAATGAGTACTAAAAATAAGCTGTAATTTATGTTGTGTCATTATTTTAAGTTTAATTGTTTGTTTATATTGTTTTTTATCTTATATAAAGTATTGCAACCACTAATAGGTCAAAAAAAACAATAAAAATTTTAAAAAATGCATAGACTAACTACTGGGGAATTCAAAATTAAAGAAAAACAAAATTAGAAAGAAAAGGGGTTCTACATTTATTCTAGAATAAAGCAAGTACGTTTTTATTGCTTGCTCTTGAGGGTTTCCAAAAAATTTAATACTGCGCCTTATAAATAATTCTTGCGGTGTCGAATTTTCCTCGTCTAGACAGTTTCGATTTTGATTCGGTTTAAATAATTGAAAGCAATCGTTTCGAAATTGAAACCTAGTTTCTCTTATCGAACAAGCAAGTTTTTGGCACGTGTTTATCCAATGTGATAACTGACCTATCCAAGCTGCGTACAACCTGTTCGGAAGCTTCCCCAAACCGCCTCAACTCCTTGCAATCTCTTCGAAATTCTCAGCTTCCGTGTTTTCACTGTCACTATCACCAGTCACTTCTCCTTACCTGTTTGAGTCTCTCAGGCCTGGAAGCCGTCGGGCTTGCGGCCAAACTAGTGACGAGCTTCCTGCTCCAGCCGACTCAGACAGCATCGATCGAGCCTACAACTCGTCCTGCTCGATTTACTGTGACACACATGGACATCCTGCACCATCCACAGCAGGTGGTCTAGAGCACGTGTCCGGCAGTCCGGACTTCTTAGGCACTAGGTTTTGTTGAAAGTGCGCGCGTGCGGTTCGCGGGTCAGTTAGGTCACTCTTCACCGCTTCATGCCAACACACTGACGTCAGATGTGGTGGTGAGCGTCTACTATCGAGCACGGGCGGCGAACTTCGGCCACGAGGGTGCTCACCACCGAGACGCAAGCGCCGCGACGCCGACGCGCAAACGCCAACATTTCGCACACGGGGATGAACAGCGCACCTGCTTCAGGAGAGACTTCATAAATCAACTTTGCAGACGGAGAATTGGACAAGGGGATTCGGAGCGACATCAGGGGGTTGTTCGACAACCTGACGGAAGGGTAATTATGATGTGGGAGCTGACAGACGAAAATTCCGCAGATTGATTCGTTTTTAAGAAAAGCAAGTGGTTGTAATGGTTTCTAGAAAGCTAAGCAACTAAAAAAAGACTTGGTTATTTCAATATGTCAATAGGTCAGGTCAACTTTGAATGATTGTTTTTTTTATTAGTAAAATCAGCTTTTTAAATTACATATATACAAAATTGTACTTGATGTTTTGATATTTTACGATAAAAAAAGCTCTTATGTTTTTATGCTTATGTGCTTTGATCATGCTCTTATTACACTTATTAGAATTAGAGAAATATTGCTGACTTGACTTTTGGGGGTTTCAAACCCTGCACCTACCTGCCGGAAATAGTGACCTTATGTCACTACGCCACCACGCTCCTGGCATGTATTTATGCTCTAGTTTAATATATTCTGACAAAACTTTCTAAAATTTTTAATTTTAGAGTTTCTATGATGTTTTATGCACATTTAGCCGTCTATTGCTAATAAATCCGACATTGTTGGCGTTAGCCTCTTGTGTTTGAGATCGTTGGAATATAAAGGAAAGTCCATTCTTCTACGACAAATCGTTACCGAGACAATTGTTGATAAAATCAAAAATATCGAAAATATTAATTCGACTATAACTTTGAAACTACAGGGTGATTCTTAAAGCTTCCCAAAGATAAATGGAGACAAACTGTACCCTTTTTACGTTTATATCTTTTAGGGGCAAAACCCCTTTCATCCGTGCCACTTACGGCGTTGCAATGATCAAATACATTTTTATCAAGTTAATACCGTGGTTTCCTAATACTATTTACGAACACATCAGGTGCGTACGTTTTACCTGGAAAATAACTTTAATAAATTGTATTTGGGGAACGTTTAAACAATGAGTTTTTTTAATATTTTTTCCAGCATGTTCTCATTTGATACTACCAAGAATAAACTTTTGTCGGTATATTTAAGAATCACCCTGTATTACGAATTTTGCAATTTTTTCAACGCCAATCGATTTCCAAGAACATTTTACATATGTATGCATCAAAACATAAAAACATTTGAGGTACAGTTTTGTCGCAATTTACAAAATATAAAAGTGAAAATTTGTTAACATGTTAACATAACGTTTTATGCGCTTTTTTGAGTTTTTAGAAGTTCCGGAAATGTAAAAAACGTTATACAGGGACGCTAAAAAATATATATAGAGCTAAATATTTTCAGAACGGTTTAGCAGAGCACGTTGAAATTTGGGAAACAGTTTATCTACTTTTTAGCAAAGAGCTAACGATAGACAAAAACAACATTTTCAAGGCTAAAAAAATTACATTTTTTTAATGAAATATGCATGTGTTTTTTCTGAGTTACATCACAGAACTCAGAAAAAATGCTCCTCTTCAAAATATCAAATTTGACCCTTCTTGACATTAAAAAAAAATCAAGTTATCATCAGAACAAATGGCGATAGAAGTTTGATAAACATATGAGGCAATTTAATTTAAAGCGACCCTGTATAGATTAATTGTAAAGTTGAAAATTTTTTTGATTTTTGGTCGAGGTTTTGGTCGATTTTTGGTACCCGAAGCAGTTTATTGCTAATAACTCCAGAACTACTAGTGCTAGCCTGTATTTAGGATCGTTAGAAAGCAAATTTAATTTTTTGTCATAAATAGAAAGATCAGTGTTCTACGATAAACAGTTATCGAAAAAATTGTTGATAAAATTAAAAATATCAAAAATTTGACTATAATTTTGAAACTATTACAAATTTTACAGTTTTCTTGACGCCAATTGACTCCTCGAAATATTTTACTTACGTGCAGTGTAAAACATTAGCCATTTTAAAAACCGTCTAGCTAAAATTGACAGAATAAAGAGAAGTAAAAAATGTATAAAAATGTCTTTTTTGAGCTGTCCCATGTCCCATATTTGGTTTAGTTTTGCAACAAAAAAAAATTTACTGCTTTGAACTGTGAAGTTCCTTTCAAAATTTTAATTTTTCTTAAAGTTTTAATACAGAATCTGTATTTTTGTGTAAAAACTGCACATCTAGTGCTTTTTTTCCTTGAAGTAAAATTTCTCGAAATACTACGTCCGAAGGTAGAATTTTAATTTTAGAAAACCATGCCATTTGTGACATAATAAAATAATAAATAAAAACTATGAAATCTGTCTGAAAATATTGATTTTTATTAAATTTCTAATACAGAATCTATACTTTTGTGTAATAAGTCTAAGTTGATCGCTTTTCAAATCCCAGCCTAAATATTATGGAACTGTACTATTTTCCAACACTAAATTATTCTCGTAAAGATGTTTTCTAAATAAATTCGATAAGGAGAGTCGTGTGATTTTTTAAATTACATACAAGCGTGTATATAGAATGCTCAAAAAGTGGTGCACCACTCAATGGCAAGTTATTGAAAACAACTTAGGTTTCATACATTTAATTAACACTGAAAAACAAATCTTGCGTTCGTGAAGATTTTATATGCATAGGTTTACTCTAAAATAAGGATTGTAGTAATGGAAATTTGATAATACAGAAAATGATCATTTCTTTTATCTAGTTATTTCAAAATACCACTTCCTACATTTTTTCTTCTTTTGAGACTTGTCATACGCAGCTTGTTTGCAATTTTTCCTTGTCGTTTTTGTATCTACTTCATATTGCATGTAGCCGTCACGACGTTGAAACAATGTAATAAATTTATGATAAACACAAACCATTCCAATTTAAGTGATAAATTATCTATAAGAGCGCGTCCAGCAGTTCCAACTCCCTAACATTAACAGGATAAAATTCCCACCAGTGGCTGTTATTCATGCAAGTCCGATTAAATTGTATCCAGCGCCAAGTGTGGGTCGGCATATAAGGGAAGCATTTTCTTAATTGCATCGGAGTTAGCGGAGTTCTCGTGGGGGATGCTACAGTAGTCGAAAATCTACCCTTTCTTTTGAACACATTCGCCCACCCTTAGTGCGTCATTTGCATAACCCGTTTCTAAATAGCACATGTGATTTTAATATGCCGGTTCCCAACATCAAAAGCTATTATCTTAAATGCTTTATGTCTTTTGTAATGAATTTGCACAGTTTGCGCCGCGGAGAGATACAAAACAGAATCGCTAAGATTGATCGATAAAAAAAGTAAAAACCACCGAAAAGCATAAATTCGGGATCAAACATTCACTACGGCTAGTGATATTACTCTGGCAGTTATACCACCGAAACTGAAGCGTTTTATCGGTTTAAAGGGTGCCAGAATGGCTTGTTTAAATCGAATGATAACAGTTGTTACGTTCGTTTTTAAAAAGAAAATAGTACAGCGGGTTTTAATTTGCAATAATTCTTCCCAAACTCGCCAATAACTCGCTCTTTTTTATGTGGGGTAGTTCGAAGCGTACCAGTTTTAGACTTGAAAGATAAATCGGCACGCAATTTTCGCAACTTTAATTCGATTTTCTAAAAGTAAAAAATCGAAACTACTTTGTTCAAGGGTATTGTATGTAAAAAAAATAAACACAAAGGCTATTTCAAACTTCAGCAACTCGATAAATAGCTTTTACTGGAAATAAGACATCGACTAAATGTTTGTGACAAAGGAAAAGTTACTTTTGTCACTGAAAGCTTTGCCAGTTGAACTTTTCGTATAATTAGAATTTTGATACTTTGTTTCATGTTTTAGATCGCTTATAAACATTGCTTTAAACGATGTTACAAAGCTTCAAGTGTTTCAAAGCAATCTAAAGTAGATTTTTATAAAAATATACAAAAAATTGAAATTTCATGCCTTTGTAACACATCAGTCAATATTTTTTCAATCTATTATAAAATTAAATTGTTGTAAATTTTGTTTGTTTAAAAACTTGTTTTAGTAAATAATTTAATTTTTTTTAGGGTCATTAACGAAACATGTTGTTTCTAATCTACTTATATTAGTTGATCAGGGCAATCTTAACAGTCAGCACAAAATCAACATATTTTTACATAAATATAAAAAAACAAAATCTGTGGTTTAAATACAGCAAAATAAAATGACATACATTCGTTTGACTGTTTTACAAAAACAAAATAATTTTTTTATAGTTCTAATTATGTAATAAAAACAAATCCAAATAAAAAAACAAACCTTAATACAAAAGAGCTTTGATTTCATTTTACTAAAAAAATTTATTTTATTCTTTTTGAAAAAATGTCATATTTCGTAATATTTATTTGCAGTTGAAGCAACTTAGTGTAATAGTCTAATAAAAGTAGATATCAATCTAGCTCCGCTCTATTAGCATAGTAATAATTTAGTTAATTTTTTCAACAATACATTTTATCACTATTTCTAAAAAGCAAGACAAAAACTAACTAGAAACTCTTGCTGTAGTCAAAAATTCATACAACACTTCTTCTGTATTTTCTCCTAAATCTCTCCAATTGATTTTTCAATTTGGGTAGGTACTCCAGTCCAAGAGCTGGTAATTTTTTTACTACTAATTAAATTAATTGAGAAAATCTGACGTTAAAGAATTAAATAAGGTAAAGAATTAAATGAAATGAAGTCTTTTTTTATTATGAATCTTTTTATTTACTAAAGTACTTACAGTAAATTTTTAAACTATCAAAATAAAAACTTTATTTCATTTCTTTGGTTTTTTACTTGACAGACATATTGACCATGTCTATAGATTAATTACACCGTTATTTTTTCACTTTAGCACATGACCTGTTATTATATTCTAAGGTAGAACTATTTTCATTAGTAAAAAAAGTGAAAC